TTATAAATTAATTTTCCCTAGAGGGGGGCGGTAGTAAATGCTGAGGTGCGTTGTCTATGTGAGGGTGTGTTTTACTAATTTAATGAAGATTCCTATCTGGATGCTCTGATTAATAGGACGGCACTGTAAAATTAAATAAACCTGCAATTACTGATCCAACATTAAAGCTGTAAAAAAGGACCAGAATGATTGTATAAAAGCTCTTTGGTGAGTCATGAATTTTTCTATTTGACAGAAAGAAAGGGGCAGTTTTATGTAAAATGCAGCTGGATTATACAGTCCTGTCCAGCACAAATATTTGCAGATTATTCCGTTTTAAACGGACAGTCTGCTGATGTCTGTCAGAATAAATGCAGCCCTGGACTGGATCAGGATGCTTACACTGAAAAGGCAGACCACCACGTAATTACAATGTCTTTAAAATAAACATTGATGCAACATTTGGGGACATCAGTGCTACACGCAGTACGTGTTTTTGCAAATACATAAAAGATGTGCAAAGGAGAAGGTAAGAAAAACATGGGAAAAAAATGATGTCCTCATGGAGAGGCAGAGGGATGGTAATATGATCCTTTTCCCAGGTGAGCATCATATCAGTCAGGCTATTAAAACCTGAAAATCGTGGGACGGTTTCATCCGGCTGTTACCAGTGAGATTGTTACGGTAGATTTCCTACTCTAACGCTTCAGCTTTCAGGACCAAGCAAACATGGCTGTTGTGTTTGAGACGCTTAGCAGGAAGACGGAATTGAACCACGCTCTTTTCCAAGAACTGCAGACATAGTAAAACCAATTTTGCATTCATCTCTGAACCAACAATCATCACAAGTACATTTTAAATATCAGCGGTGACTATTTCAGCTGATGTTAAATATCAGCAATGACGCGCAGGCCAGACCAAATGGAAACAAGTGGATAAATTTAGATTAAATGCACCTGCTTTCAGTATCACTGCAACAAGTGAGCCACCGGCCCTGTACAGAATGCTGCAATGTCACACACTACACTTAATGCGTACTTTAATAGTCTTAAAGATGACAAACTACAATAAATGGTCAGTTGGGAAATTACAACGTGGCCCTGCTTTTGTGTAATTATATTTATTGCTGCGGGATTTCAGTCCTACATCTGCTTTCTATTCTAGATGCAGACTCACCTTCAGCTCAGGGACCCAGTTTAATCATATTAGCCTGTTTCCAAAGATTAATGCCACTCTGAAGTTTCGAACTTTGGATGAGTTACATTTTTTCCCTACCCTGATGAGCTGCTGTAGGGGTACCAGAGCTCGTTCAGCTCCTGATTAGTTTGTAATTTACATGGACTGGAGCTTCTCAATAATTAACTCCATCATTTAAAATAACGGTCTCCATAATTGAGCACATGAGACCGGGGACCTTTTTTCTGATTACTGTCATGCCAAAAGTAAGCTGAGCTGCTGGTGGGGCAGATCACTGCCCCAGGGTGGCTGTGGGAGGAGATCTACAAGTGACCTCAAGATGGGGGCGGAGCTACAGCATCACTCCTGAGGTCTTTAAGATGGAGGTGGGGGCGGAGCTACAGCATCACTCCTGAGGTCTTTAGGATGGAGGTGGGGGTGGAGCTACAGCATCACTCCTGAAGTCTCTAAACTGGAGGTGGGGGTGGGGCTACAGCATCACTCTTGAGGTCTTTAAGCTGGAAGTGGGGGCGGGGCTATAGCATCACTCCTGAGGTCTTTAGGATGGAGGTGGGGGCGGGGCTATAGCATCACTCCTGAGGTCTTTAAGCTGGAGGTGGGGCTACAGCATCACTCCTGAGGTCTTTAAGCTGGGAGTGGGGGCGGGGCTATAGCATCACTCCTGAAGTCTCTAAGATGGAGGTGGGGGCGGGGCTACAGCATCACTCTTGAGGTCTTTAAGCTGGAGGTGGGGGCGGGGCTACAGCATCACTCTTGAGGTCTTTAAGCTGGAGGTGGGGTAAATTCAGTATATACACTTCATAATTTAGCATTCTTTCCTTCAAGGTAACATGATATGGAAGACTGAAATATTATGTGGGCTAAACAGTATTTTCACCACTGTCAGAATGTTGTGCTCCCACTCAGCATGAGAGCCGTCAGAAACCGTAATTGTGAAGGAGGTCACTGTGTTCACCAGAAGGAACAGCAGGCGCTGTGATATGCAGCATGTTTTCATCCACAATATCTAGTGAAGCGAAACTTCCCACTCCCACTGTACATATTAATCAAGCAGCAACTGCGCAGAAGAAGAGAAGTCAGTAATAAATCAGACACAGAAGGCCAAAGTGGGCGCTTATGGAAGGGTTACTTACACAAAAATATTCTGAGGGCAGAAAGAAAGGAGAATTGTTCAGGTACATAACCAATCAGATTTAAGGGAGGTGGGTCCAAGCAATTAAAGGAGGTACGACCAACCAATCAGATGTCTTGGTCCCACCTCCTCTGGTTCCTTGGATCCACCTCTATATCGCTTTTAACCAATCATTTTTCATTTTGCCTTCAGAACATTTTTGTGTAAGTGAAACTCCCACGAGAAAAGTGAGAAGAAGATATGAGAAGGACCAGAGTAAGAGGGCAATTTATGTCAATTCATCCGGTCATTCATTCATTTAGTAATATTATTATTATTCTTTCATTCATCTTCTACATTGCTTGTCCTGTGCAATGTCATGGGGGTTCAGAGCCTATCCTGGAAACATTGGGCACAACGTACAACCCAGGATGAGGCATCAGTCTGTCACAGAGTACACAGGACAACAAAAAAACATTTTTTTAAATCATCAGAGACCAAAATACATTTTTCCAAATCAGTTTCAGTTTTTTCCTGTCACTTCAACTTTTTGATTTATGAGTAATGCTAGTTAATACCATAATTGCAAGTACAGTGGTACCTCAGTTCTCAAACTCATTAGAACTCGAATTTCTTAAAAGTCGAACCAACCAGTTGGTAATTTTTTTTTTCATAGAGCTCGATCTGAATCTCAGAAGTCAAACCGTGAACGCCGACCTAAGATAACTTCTACGCGCGGGGAAATGAGTCACGCAGCACGTCTCTCAGCGGAAACAAAGGGTAACGCTTCAGTCTCAGCCTCGCATTCGCTATAAAAGCTTGTGCATGTTTACACTAGCTGAATACATATATTTAGACAGTAAAAATACATTTAG